ATGTTAGCTTTGAATTTGAACTTATTACTAGAGTTGAGCGGACACCTGGATGTTCGGGTTCGCCAGGTTCGGCCGAAGTTCGGGACTCAAACTTGACCTGAACTTGACCACGAACCCCATTGAAGTCAATGGGTACCCACACTTTTGGGCACTAAAATGGCTCTAAAAAAGTCCTGGAAAGGGCTAGAGGGCTGCAAAAGGAAGTAAAATCTATTGCCTAAGTACTAATATACGTACCCAGTGGAAGAAGAATGTTACACTGTATACAATTTTAAATAAAAAGTATACAATCATAGCCAGGATTCAGCTGTATGCATTTGCAACACTTACAATAATCAAGTAACACACATTCATATAAAATGTAAGTTACTTGGCCAGTCAATGTAATGACAGGAATGAATAGGTAGATAACTCCCTAATTCCCACGGTATTAGAGAGCAACCTACTAAAAGGCTGAAAGACCTGAATTGGTCTTTCAGCCAAATTTACTAATACTAAGTAAAGATTACTTAGTATTAGTAAATTATGCCTATGGCTGCTCACTGTAAAAAAAAAAAAAAGTTCCCCCCTCCTGAGCCCCCTATACCCTGGAACGGTGGGTGGGGGCCCTATTGTCCTCCCCTGGGCCCCCACCCAGCCCCTGAATGGCGGGTGGGGGCTTTAAATTCGAATAAGGGGGGGGCCTATTGTCCTCCCCCCGGCCCCCACCCCTGAGCGGCAGGTGGGGGCCCTAAAGTAAAATAATGGGGGTGGGGAACCTATTGTCCTCCCCCTGGCCCCCACCCTGAGCAGCGGGTGGGGACCTTAAATACCAATGAGGGGGGGGACCTATATTCTTCCCCCCGGCCACCAACCCTGAGCGGCGGGTAGGGACTCTAAATTAGAATAAGGGGGGACCTATTGTCCTCCCCCCTGGCCCCCACCCCTGAGCGGCGGGTGGGGGCCCTAAATTAGAATAAGGGGGGACCTAATGTCCTCCCCCCCCGGCCCCACCCATAAGCGGTGGGTGGAGGCCCTAAATAAAAATTGAGGTGGACCTAATGTCCTCCCCCCTGAGCCCCACCTCTGAGCGGTGGGTGGGGGCCCTAAGTTAGAATAAGGGGGGGACCTAATGTCCTCCCCCTGGCCCCCACCCGTGAGCAGTGGGTGGGGGCCCTAAATAAAAATTGTGTTGGACCTATTGTTCTCCCCCCTGGTCCCCACCCCTGAGCGGTAGGTGGGGGCCCTAAATTAAAATAATGGGGGGGACCTAATGTCCTCCCCCCTGGCCCCCACCCCTGAGTGGCGGGTGGGGGCCCTAAATAAAAATTTAACCCCCCCATGTGACTAGGGGTCCCCAAACCCCTAGTCAACCCCCTCCCCCCAAAAATTAACCCCTACCTACCCCCTCACCCTAAAAATAATGACAAGGGGAACTTTAACTAAGTACCTGTAAAAATAAAATAAAACTTACCATTTGATGTTTTCTTTCTTCTAAAATCTTTTTTCAGCCCCAAAAAAGGCCAAATAAAAATCCATAATAACCGACACATTTAAAAAAACAAACAAAAAAAACGACCACAAAAAAAAATAATCCATCTTCACCCATGGAGGGCTCCGCGCAGACTGAGCTCTGCAGGGCTCAGTCTGCGCGGAGCCCTCCATCAGAGTGTTATGAGTCAAATTCACAGCGTGGGAAAAGTCTAAAGAAATTTCCCACGCTGTGTAACATGACACAGAGCACTCTGATTGGTGGATTTCAAGTAAATGTAGAGACTTACCTGTCAGTCTCTTCATTTACCTGTCAGAGCACTCTGATTGGATGGCTTAAACCCACCAATCAGAGTGCTCTGAGCCTAATTGCAGGGTGTGGCAAGGCTTTATAAGCCTTTCCCCACCCTGCAGAGCTCAGTCTGCGTGGAGCCCTCCATGGGTGAAGATGGATTATTTTTGTTGCGCTGTTGTTTTTTTTTTCTTTTTTTTAAGTGCGTCGCTTATTGTGGATTTTTATTTGGCCTTTTTGGGGGCTGAAGAAAAAAAACATCAAATAGTAAATTTCATTTTATTTTTACAGGTACTTAGTTAAAGGTCTCCCCTCATTATATTTAGGGTGAGGGGGGTAGGTAGGGGTTAATTTTTGGGGGGAGGGGGTGATTAGGGGTTTGGGGACCACAAGTCACCTGGGGGGGTTACATTTTTATTTAGGGCCCCCACCCACCGCTCAGGGGTGGGGGCCACGGGGTAGGACATTAGGTCCCCCTCAATTTTTATTTAGGGCCCCCACCCACTGCTCAGGGGTGGGGGCCAGGGAGGAGGACATTAGGTGCCACTCAATTTTTATTTAGGGCCCCCACCCACCGCTCAGGGGTGGGTGGCAGGGGGTAGGACATTAGGTCCCCCCCTTATTCTAATTTAGGGCCCCCACCCACCGATCAGGGGTGGGGGCCGGAGGGGAGGACATTAGTTCCCCCCTAATTGGTATTTAGGGCCCCCACCCCACTGCCCAGGGGTGGGTCTAGGGGGAAGGACATTAGGTCCCCCCCAATTTTTATTTAGGGCCCCCATCCACCGCTCAGGGTTTGGGGCCAGGGAGAGGACATTAGGTCCCCCCCCTTATTCTAATTTAGGGCCCTCACCCACCGCTCAGGGGTGAGGGCCGGAGGAGGACATTAGGTCCCCCCCTAATTGGTAATTAGATTCCCCATTCACTGCTCAGGGGTGGGGGCCAGGGGGGAGGACATTAGGTCCCCCCTTATTGGAATTTAGGGCCCCCACCCACTGATCAGGGGTGGGGGCCATGGGGAGGACATTAGTTCCCCCCAAATTTTGATTTAGGGCCCCCACCCACCGCTCAGGGGTTGGGGCCAGGGGGGAGGACATTATGTCCCCCCCTATTCTAATTTAGGGCCCCCACCCACCGCTCAGGGGTGGGGTCCAGGGGGAAGGACAATAGGTCCCCCCACCTTATTCAAATTTAGGGCCCCCACCCACCACTCAGGGGTGGGGGCCGGGGGGAGGACAATAGGTTCCCCCCATTATTTTACTTTAGGGCCCCCACCCATCGCTCGGTGGTGGGGGCCGGGGGGGGGGACAATAGGTCTTCCTCCATTTTCAAAACGCGCCATTAAATCGCCGAACTCGAACCCGAACTGTTACTGAAATGTCCGGGCTCGTGTTCGGAGTCAAAAAATAGTAATGTTCGGTATGAACCCCAACTTTACAGTTCGGGTTCGCTCAACTCTACTTATTACAAATAAATATGAAAACACAGTTAAATTATTTGTAAGTAAAGGTAACTGTGGTTTTAAACAGATAATGTTAAGACATGTAAACATGTAAAGACACTCTTTTACACAAACCTGCACACATACATAGACGCAGACGCACACAGGCACGCACACACGCATGCACACGCGCGCACACACACACATATATATATGTCTCTATATATATATATATATATATATATATATATAAAATTAACAACTCATGTAAATAATTTAAGCTTGATGAATACCAAAAGCACAATCCTTGCTCTCTGATTAACATCTGCTAACAGATTGTTGTACTGATTATATTGTATGGAGGCTATGATTGCAGTTCCTCTGGTTTGATGGTTTGACAAAATAGATTCATAGCATTACAGTAAGCTGTAGTGCAGGCTTCCCCAAACTCCAGCCCTCTAGATGTTGCTGAACTACAACTCCCATGATTCTCAGCCTATCTATTTCATTCATAGAATCATGGGAGTTGTAGCTCAACAACATCTGGAGGGCCGGAGTTTGAGGAAGCCTGCTGTAGTAGATTACAAAATGGGCTTTAGTGGGTGTACTCTCCTCGCCTTCTTCTTCTTCTTCTCCTCATCCTTTACCTGTCCTGGCCTGGCCCAATGGCAATCTGAGCACTCCTCAACTTTGACACTTCTCTGCTGATCTTCAATCTCCATATTAACTAACTCCTTGTCAATCTAGAACTGTATAAGAACGTAATACTGCTCATACCTGTAATAACTATAATATGCAAAGGTTCACCTGAGTGTAGGTGGATGATGTCAGACTGCATTGTGCATTGTGCACTATAAATTCCCGTAATAAACTTTCAGTTCAGTCATCTCCTTTGACAAGCAAACTTACTTCAGTACCAACCTTTAGAACAACGTTTTCTAATATCTACAATTGCCTCTTTAAGACCTTCAATGACTCTACCCCATAAGAGCATCCTTCACTAACCTGCCGGCTATCAAAAAATATTACTTTGATGAGCAGATTGTTAAAAAAGGTCAAATAATCTAAACACTCTATCACTGCCTCTTTCATAAACTTGATCTACATTTATTCTTCAAGTCTATAATTGTTCTCCCCAAATACAGCTCTTCTGTCTTCTTCTTTTCCCCCTGGAAGCCTCAGTATTATCCCTTCACGCCTTAATCTATCAGTCTCCTCCCATTCTTGTTCTATCTCTAACATTTAAATCTTATCTTTTTTTTTAAATTTGAAATTTTTATTTTCAGTAAAAAGAAATTGAGGGTACAGAAAAAAGAGAGGGAGGGGGGAGAGACCTCTCGGTCAAGACATCTTGTTCCTCGTTATATAGCATACATTCGTTCGGTATTAATATATATACAGAGTGAGGTTGACATGGAGGAAAGAATGAGTATACCACATTGAGAGCGAAACATTTAGTAAACTGTTGGCAAGTTGCATCTTTAGACATTTACATCAATCTAAATAGTCGTGCATACAGGTATACAACCTCCTATTTGGGTATTGTGTGTCCCTAGTCTGGGTCATATGGTATCGTCTCTTTCGGTGTATGTGGGTTGTATCTTTGGGGATGTTTCGTCCTGTCTAGTCGGCTTTCCGCATTGGTCTAGTTAGGTTATAGTGGGTGGCGATGTATTAGTGATAGCCATAGCTCCCATAGTTGTTCCGTGAGCCGTGTTTTTGCATGGGAATCTGAGGAGAGTACTTCATATCTATAAAATTGGTATATTTTGTTCAGTAGTTCTTTGTGTGTTGGGCAATATGTGCTCCGCCAATGTAGAGCAATGAGGTTTCTAGCCGCTAATATGATAGTGGAGGCCAGTTTCTTGGCTCCTTTTTTCCATGTGGGTGGAAAGAGCAATAGGATCGCCACCATTGGTGTGAGGTCAACCTTGTAACCCAATGTTTTCCCCAGTAGTTGTTGTACCTGTGACCATAGGGGTTTGATCTCTCTACATTCCCACCAGATGTGGGTCATGGTCCCTTCCCTTGAGCCGCATCTCCAACATTTGGAGTCCACTGTGGGGTATATTTGGTGTAGTCTTTGTGGGGTAAGATACCATCGGTATATCACTTTCTTGTGTGCCTCTACATGAGAGAAGCAGGATGTGAGGCCTTTTAGGGCATTCAGTGACTGGAGCCATTGGTTATCAGTGAGTCCGGGCATATCCTCTTTCCCCCATTGTTTTACATAGTTAAAAGCGTGTGGTGGTGTATGGCCTAGAAGGGTCTTATAGCATAGGGAGAGTGACTTGGGTTTTGTCGGTGCCGACATGCATCTTGTAATGATAGTCAATGTGTGGGTTCCTTGTGGCGGAGTTGTCGGGAGTTTCATTGTCACCTTGGTGTGTACAATGCTCTTTAGTTGTATGAATTGGAACATAAAGGAGTTGGGTATCTTGTAGATGGCTTGTAGTGTAGGGAAGGCCATGAGTTCAGTTTGGGAACAGAGGTCTTTTATATGTTTAATACCATATGTAGCCCAGGATTTTAGTGACAACCAATCTGACACTCCTTCCAGCGCCCCTAACGGGGCATATACACAGAATTTTCCTTTCTCAGATATGGTAGTTAAAAGTTTATCCCATATGTGCATAGTCAATCTAGTGGTGGGGTATAATGGGAGTTTCTTTGGCCTGTAATTTTTGGGGGACCATAGTATGTTTAGCATGAGGTGTGGAGAGAACTTTTCGTGTTCCATATCAACCCACTGAAATGCGTTTCTGGGGGCATGGATACGGATTGCGGATTCGAGGATGGAGGCTTCATAGTAAGTAGCTAGTTTTGGGAGGCCGAGACCGCCCATTGTTTGTGGGAGTTGAAGTAAGGTTTGAGGTAGTCTGGCTTTTGTTTTATTCCAGACAAATCTATTTAAGGTTGTTTGTAAGGTTTTTAGTTCGTGTGGTTGGATGTTGAGGGGTAGCATTCGGAATACATAAAGGATTTTGGGAAGTAGCACCATTTTAATAGTGTTGATTCTGCCTAACCACGACAGGTGGATGTGTTTCCATGATTGGAAGTGTGAGGTGCAGGTATGTTGCAGGGGTCTATAATTAAGAGATACCATTTTTGAGGCATGTAAGGCTAGCTTCACCCCTAAATATGTGATGTGCTTTTGTCTCCAATCGAAATTGAAGGCCTGGCGTAAGGTATGTATCTGCGCCATGGTCATATGTATCGGTAGGGCTTGTGTTTTATTGCTGTTGAGCTTGTAGTATGATATAGAACCATAATCTTGTAGTAAGTCCATTAAGCGGGGTAAAGAAACGTCTGGTTTGCTAAGGCAGAGCAAGATATCATCTGCAAACATTGACAGTCGATAATTGGATTGTCCTATGTGTATGCCTGTTATGAGAGGGTCTTGTCGGATTTTGTGTGCTAGAGGCTCTAATGCAAGGATGAAGAGGAGAGGGGGTAGGGGGCACCCCTGTCTGGTTCCATTAGTTAGGCCGAGTGGAGAGGAAATGAATCCAGATTGGTATACTTGACCAGTAGGGTTGTTATATAACGCCATAATCCCTTGGATAAGCTGTGGTGGGAGACCGAATTTCGTTAGTACTGATGTCATATACGCCCAGTTCAACCTATCAAAAGCCTTTTCAGCGTCTAGTGCTAGAAGCAGGCATTCCGTATTTTCTGATTCTACATGGGATAGTATGTTAAGTATTTTCCTAGTGTTGTCGGAGCCCTGTCTCCCTTTTATGAAGCCTGATTGATCATTGTGTACTATTTGTGGTAAAATGGGGGCTAATCTGTTGGCTAACAGCTTGGCATATATTTTGGCGTCACAATTTAGGAGGGATATGGGCCTAAAGTTGGGACAGTGGGTCGGGGGTTTTCCCGGTTTGGGGAGTGTAGTTATATGGGCTTGGAGCATAGCTGCGGGCATAATTCCTGTTTGAAAAGAGCGGTTAAATAAAGTGGCCATGTGGGGTGCTAAAATGTCTTTGAAGGTATGGTAGTATAGGTTTGTGAACCCGTCTGGCCCGGGTGATTTATGTTTCGGTAATTGTTTGATAGTATCTATAATTTCTTGTGTTGTAAATGGTTGTGTTAGTTTATGACAGTCTTCTGGCGTGATGGATGGTAGTTGTACGTCATTTAGAAAAGCATCTATGTCTGTTTGATTAGGTGTGGGAATTCCATTTTCGCCAGCTAAGTTATATAAACTACTGTAGTACTTGCCAAACTCTTCCACCACTTCTTGTGGGTCAGTAATCTTGTGTCCTTCTTTAGTGAGTATATAGGCTATCTTGGAGGGTGTGATCCTTGTTTGGAGGTGGGCAGCTAAAATTTTTCCTGCTCTATTCCCTTCTGCAAAGAATTTATGTTTCATTCTAGTCAGTAAGTAAGTAGTTTTTGCAAGTTCCAAATCTTTTAGTGTAGCCTGTAGGTGGAGAATTCGTTTCGTGGTACTATGTGATGGTGAACACTTGTTTGTGCGAGTGAGAGTGGCAAGTTCCGTATGTATGTCTGTATATGCTTTTGTGCGTTGTCTCTTGTTAAAGCTGGCGTGTTTAATACATTGGCCTCGAAGGACTGCTTTATGCGCTTGCCAAAGCGTCTCCACTCCTACTTCTTCTGTGTTATTAATAATAAAATATGATTTTAAATCTTCTGTGAGTTGTGAGACTAGTTTGTGGTCGTTGAGGAGGGTATCATTAAGTCGCCATGTACGGTTGCCATTGGTAGGGTGCGTTGTGTTTATCGAAATCGTTATGGGTGCGTGATCTGACCATGTTATCATGCCTATATCTGTTTTGGAAATTCGTGATATGTGTGTTGATGGAATTAAGAAGCGGTCAATCCGGGAGTACGTATCGTGTACTAGAGAGTGGTGTGTATAGTCTCTGTCTAAGGGATGAAGAGTCCTCCATATGTCGGTGTAGCCATGAGCATTGAGGGTGTTATCAATAAGGGTCGTAGCTCGTGTTCTACGTTGTAGTGTATTTTGTGAGACTGTCGTGGTCGAAGTGGAATCTAGATTTGGGTCTATAAGGAAGTTAGTGTCTCCCCCTACTAGTATTTCTCCAAATTTGTGCGCCTGTGTTAGAGTGAGGATATGATCTAGGAAGGTGTGTTGGTCAGTGTGCGGGCTATAGACATTGACCAGTGTGTAGTGAGCATTGTTGATGATGCATTGCAAGAGGAGGTAACGTCCTTTTTTGTCACTTATCTTTTTTATGAATTGGAATGCTACATCTTTACTGATCAATATTGTAACCCCTCTTTTTTTTTTCTTGTAAGTGCTGTGGTATCCTACCGGATAGTTTCTGGATGAGAATTTGGGGTGGTTTGCGGTTTGGAAGTGGGTTTCTTGGAAGAAAGCAACATGTGCTTTGTGTTTTTTTGCTTCCGACAATGCCATGCGCCTTTTATGGGGTGAATTAAGTCCCTTAGTGTTTATAGAAAGTACGTTAAGTGTCATGGCAAGGGATTTCTAAGTTGTGTATACGTTGCTGAGTTATCAGCACAGATATTTTGTATAGCCAAGTAATAGTGTGTGCCTTGAGTCGTCCGACCCTTGGTAATGACCATTTAGGCGGTGTTGTTTGTTCGATTAGGCGGTTAATTTGTGGTATGGTCATGGGCATGTCTCGATGGTGGTTAGATGTCTTGTCGGGAGGTGGAGGGGGATTAGGGGTATAACATACAACATATATCAAACTATATACAAAGAAAAGGTCTCTATGGTGAGACCCAAGGTTCGTCATTTTCGTCGGGCACTGAAGCCCCCGTGGGGGGGGGGAGAATCCCAGAAATCTGATAAGGATGAGTTATTAGCGTATGGGGTGGTGAAGGGTAAAATAGACTCTCTGGCTGTAAATAGGGATGTGAAGACCTGATTTCCCTGGTATAATATCTAGTCGTCCGTGGGTATAAATACTCATAGAGAACCCGGTCATTCCATCTTGGGATGTGCAAGTCGTATCTTGTAGAGCCCAAGTATATAGATCAATAAATACGGCATTCACTGTACAGTTCTATCTTTATTCCAGCGTATGGTCACCACATCTTAAGCTATCTCAAATAATGTGCCAAGGGAAGGTGTTGCCTTTGTGTAGGGGATGGGGACAGCGGGGTATACACAGGGGAGTTGTATATGTTACTCAAGCATATAAAAGAGGGGAAGATATAACCTTGGTAGGGTCAACACTTTCAACACATCCCAGTGCCCGCCTCGGAACGTTAAGGTATGTCACATGCTGTATCTCCAGCCCTGAGGGGTGTTAAGATAGCGTGGAGAGTTTCTATGGACCGCTGCACCGAGGGAGTGGCATCATGTTAGGTAATGAACGTAGTGAGTGCTACGTCCCAGATAGTGTTATGGTGTTGGCGTAGTTTGGAGGGACAGCTGATGTTATTGTTTGTCATGTTCTATGGTGTATCCTTTTAGGCAAACGCCGGCAGGTGGAGTAGTGTCATTTATGTGGTATTGGTTGTGTGACCATGATGAGTCACGGTGAGTGGGTCGCTAGAGTAGTTACTCAGAGGTGGCGATGTGGTGACCGCCAGAGGGGTCTATGCACCCACTGGGATTAATAGAACATCATATTATAACTACATTAAGTAATGTTAATCAGACATAACAAAATTTGAGCAAACTGCGATTAAAGAACATTGAACAAACCATTTCCGATTGGGTGATCTATCGGTGGCACGTAGTGCCGTGAAGTCCATGCACCTGTTTTTGTGTTTTTTGTTTTTTTTTGGTAAGGTGCAGGTATTCAGTCAGTTAACTTAGTCCTATAATAACATGTATACAGTTTCACTTAGCTGTGGCCTTTGTGTGCCAGTCATGCGTGAGTCTCTTCGGTGATACAGCAGCTTTCTGCCCGGCAGGGGTGGCTTGGTTGCTGACATCCAAAGGAATATTCCACTCTTCCAAGGTCTTCTTACCATCCTCTGGGGTGAGAATGTGTTTCTCGATGCCATTGTGTCGGAGTATGAGACGAGCTGGGAA